AAATGGTAATAATCAATGACATGAATATAAATGGTAAGTACACATAAATACAATACACAAGGCTAAAATGAATACAAATTCACATGCATACAACTATAATTTGTTACGAATTACAACTATAATTCAATTGTATTTGTTGATACAATTGTATTCGCTGATACAAATTATATTCATTAATATGCTCGACAAAATTGATTTGCATAAATTGCACACAATATTCTTGACACAATTGTATTCACAATTTCAAATCAATTGTATCAATTATCTTCGTGGTAAAATTATTAGCTAGATATATAATTATCAGCCGGATATACAAATCATTTGTATCTATCCTGCCTCATTCCTCTTTCTCTCAAATCTCATTTGTATTTCTCCTCCCTCTCTCAATATCACTCGTCTCCCTCCTTCTAGTAATTTTTTTTAAAAAAAAATACAAATCAATTATAGCAGTGATACAATTATCGATCAGATATACAAATCAGTTATGTCTCTCTCCTCTCTCTCTCCCAATCTCGTTCGTCTTTCTCTTCCGTTAAATACATAGCTAATAATAAAAGTTAAAACCAACTATAACTAAAAAAAGCCTTATTATATTTCAAGATCTTAGTTATTTTTGAAATTTTCTCATATTTTAATTAATAAACTAATGTTTGTAGGTATATATTATGATAATATTCCTTAGTTACATATTAAAGGAAAATTATCTTCAATTTTGAAACTATTATTTTGTTTTGCTTTGTCCATGTTTTCTTGTTTTTGGAGAAACTTGACAAGCCAAAGACAGGAGGAACCCATGGCTAGGAGCATCTCATACATCACAGGCTCTCAGCTTCTCTCTCTCAAACGCCGTCCGAATATCGCCATCGTTGACGTCAGGTTATTACAAAGCTCAATTTTCACTTGCATAATTTTCCAGATCTCTCTGTTGTACCATATTGATTTTCTTGCTTCGAATTTGCAGGGATGATGAGAGGAGTTACGATGGGCACATAGCTGGGTCGCTTCACTTTGCGAGCGATACTTTTCTTGATAAAATACCCAGTCTTATTCAGGCTGCTAATGGCAAAGATACCCTTGTTTTCCATTGTGCTCTTAGCCAGGTTTGAATCTTGTTTAGTACTTCTTTTTACTCACTTTTTGATGTTTGCATATCTATTTTCTATTTCCTTAATTGGGTATCTCTGTTTTTGGTTAAAGATTCTATAGTTTGCTGCACAGATTCCTTTTGGGTGTTTTGTTTATCTGCTGTTAATGCAATTCTTTGTGAAGCTGCCCTGGACTAATCTTGTTTCCTAATCTGTTGGACTGGGTTAGAGTCCCACATTAGGGTGTAAATGGTTTAGTGATCTGTTTATATGGATTTGACAATCATTCCCTCTTGACCTATATTTTGAGATTGGGTTAGGGTGTCATATCTTTACATGATATCAGGGTCAAGTCCGTCCATGTATGAGTTTGGTATTAAGGGGTTTGTTAGAGTAAGTTAGCGTCCCACGTTAGTTGGATAATGTACCGGTGATCCTCCCCACTTGAGCTAGCTTTTGGGTTGAGTTAGGCTTTTGAATTTTGAATTATTCAAAGCTATGGGAGTGAAGATTTTGTACGATTTCAACTGCTTCTCTGAAATATTAGGTAGTGTACGTAGTCCTAAAATTAGTTATAGTGCCTGTAGGAGATCCGAGGTTCAGTTAACATGTAATATGCCAGAAATTTCTGGACTCCCTAAGTAAATTCTTAGACTAAAAGTAATCATGCCACTGGTATCTTTGTCTCTTTGCTGAAAGCACATTATGCCTTAGTATAAACCTTCAAAGCTTGGTTTTGTTCTGGAATTGCTCTGGAGTAACAAGCTTTGAGTCCTCACAAGTCACAAATATCACAACTTTTTCCCCCTAAACACCAAATGGTGGTATTAGGGCTATCGGCTTTTATGGGATTCAAAGTTTTGGTTCCTGAAGTTACCTTCTCAATCCAATCTTTGACTGTTCAGATTAATTTACTTACATGTTTGGCATAGGCTTACAGTTTCCGTCCATGAGTTTTACCTACCACCAAAAGCTTTTACTCTTTGGTTAATAGCAAATTAAGGATATATTGTCGTCCAACTTCGGATGTTCACTAGACAGTCATTATATTATACATAGTTCCGCATGTTTGGAATATTCAGGAACAAATAGCAGCATTTTTCTCTTTGTAAAAGCTTGAGAGGTACTTCTGCTGCACAATGTTTTAATGTCATTTGGTGGGTACAACTTCTGATACGAATATAGCTCTGTCCTTTACCATTTAACCTTTAACTAAAACGTGTTGGCGGGTTTTTTTTTCTCCTTCCAATAACATTCTATATTGAGGTATATTCCTTAATCAGATCTGGAGGATCATTCGAAATTCAGAAGGATTGTGTGGGTGACATTGTTGGGTCATATGTAAAGTTTTGATAAAAAAGTTGATCAAACTTTATTTAGTGGTCTCTTTGGAATGTATATCCATTTCGATAAAGGAGAAGATGAAGAATCTCCAGCTTTTTATGCTAGCATTGGTGGATATGTCATTTGTATCATAAGTTTGCTATATATGTCAATCTCATGGATGAAGCAACGACTAAAAGTTCAATGAATAAAGTATATAGAAAGATTAGGGTAGACAGTTAGACTAGAGAGGTAGAGAAAGGCAAAGCAATATCCTAGGTAGTGATTATCAGAAGCATGAAGTTGTAATTTGCAGAGCTGCTAGTCTGGAGTAAACCTGGAAAGACAACTGATAGCTGGTGGTTTCAACTTGTAATTACAACAAATAAGTCTAGAAATAGGAGGTAAGGTTTTAAAATAAGGTTTTCCTTTCTCAAAAGTGTGAGAAATAGCAATAGTTTAAACCCCAAAGGGTCATGTTATGTTAATTCTTGCTTTGGTTTTTGAAATTGCACTTGTGACCCTATTCTAAGTGTAGTGCAAAGGAAGTGCTAACTGAGAGAGAGAGAGAGAGAGAGAGAGAGAGAGAGTATACTCGTAGACTACATTAAAGGTATATTGGTGTACAGCATGGTCTAGAAATTAAACAGAGAATGGAGAAGATGATGAAATGGAGAAGAGGAGAGAAACAGATCAATTTTCAGCCTACAGAAAGTCTATGTCCAAAGTTTTGAGATTAAATTAGTGAAAATATAAGGGTGGAAACATGTAGAGCCGAGGACCATTTATCTCACATCAGCTGGACATAATCTCATATGTACACACACACAAATACAGCTGTGAAGGAGCATGTCCTATGCACACTCAAGAATATAATTAGTTATTTTTGCTAGTACATAGACAAATAAAGAATGGAAGGGTGTAAATACTGTATTTCCATTCCTCATTTATTTTTATGTATAGAACTTGTATAAAACAGCTACAGTGGATAGAAATAGACACAGAAAATTTTCTCCAAAATCTCTCCTCTTCTAATTTCCTTTAAGGTATAATACTTTACATTGCCAGTTTAATAATACATTACAGATTTACCTCTCCTGTGTTGGTTTGTGAACTATTGCATAGGAGCGAGGGTTTACCCTGTGCTCAACTATAGGGTAGCGGCTGCGGGTTTCCCTTGTTATCAATAAAATAATAATACATTACAGACATGGATTTTTTCAAAGATCGAACGAGCAAAAATGTCTAATGTTGTCTAGAGGTATAGAATGATTATGTTATAACTTAGTTAACTCAAATTCTAACTTTTGTAGTAGTTATGAATATTTCTCATACTTGATTTTCTCTCATAGTGCAAATAGTAGCACTTCCTTTCGGCTTAAATTTATATTAAGCTAATAATTACAAATAGTTACTTTTCTCTTCAACATCATCTCTTTTTTTGAGAATGGTAACTTGATATTACATCATCTTCAAAAACTATTCATTTAACGTGTTGAATTGTGTCGTGCAAGAAGAGAATACTACCTCCTATCCACGTCTCTTGTTTTCACATATGAATTAACTTATTGAGTTGTGAATGACTATTTTCTAGGTTCGAGGACCAAAATGTGCAAGGAGGCTTGCAGAATATCTAGCTGAATCGAAAGATGATGTGGGAATAAAAAACATTATGGTATTAGAGCGTGGTTTTAATGGATGGGAATCCTCTGGTAGACCAGTTTGTCGTTGCGCTGAGGTCTACTGCAAGGGTCACACTGAACCAGCATAGCTATATAAAAAAAAAGACAGATAAACCATGCTAAAGAAGAGGGGATATATTGTACCCTGATATATAGTTCGACTGATTGTAATATTGTCTTATAAAAGGATTCTATGGAGTTATGATCTGAGAGGCAACAAGTGGCTGTTTGGCTGCTCATACATGTATTGCTCATCATTTTGAAAAGAAAACAAACCATGTTATTTTCAATTTTTATGCCATTTTTTAACTTACTATGTTGAAATAATTTGAATTTCCTTACTCGTATTTCTTGCTCCTCGGAAATCTCACTTGTGAAATTTTACTGAGTATGTTATTTCTTGCTCCCTTGTGTCGTATATGCCATCTTTGTTATATTCTGCCTAAATTTGTGTGATTTGTACGCGTTTGGTCGTGATCTTATTTTTGTTTTTTTGGGAGTTGTTTGGCCATAAAAGAAATTATTTATATTGAACATTATAAATCACAATAATTAACAATGTATAATATTTCAAAAAATATATAAAAATTTATTCAACTTTCGGAATATCATTTGTACAACATAAATTGAATTATAAAATGACTTAATATTGAAACCATGCGAACACAAACTCCTATATTTACTTCACTGTGGAAAGTGAGATTCTTTTATGAGTAAACCTCTAATTTAGAATGACATTTTGGATAATATTTCTAAATTAGGATCTCATTTTTGTCTAATTTTAAATATACACAATAAAGTCATTCATTTACGATAAATATAGAAATGTTTTATTTATATAACTAGATAGAGGTGGCCCGTGCTTGCACGGGCCCAACGTTGAAACATTTTTGTTAGTTGGATCTAAATATATAAAAATGTATAAGCCGGCTAAATGTACATATGGAGATACATAGATATATAGAGATCGTTAGATATTGTAAATAAGTTGGCAATTGTTTAGTTTGTTTTTCTGGCTGTATTATTTAGATATTTACATCCTATTATATTTACATAGTTCTGCCTTTTGGCTGCTTTTCAGAGTTGGGCAGCTCCACATAAAAATAACCTGTGAAATAAGAGGAAAAATGAATTAAGAATGGATATAATATAGTAAATGTGGATCACTGGATCAACAATCTAAAATTTGTTAGTGAATGGTGTATTTCAGAATTAAAGACAACATGTAAGATCAAAATATAGTGTAATCATTTTGGATTGTACTTGAGAATTTTGAAGAAGTAGACAACAAAAGTTTACGCCATCAACATCAGAAGAGCCATCAACATTTGAAGGTATCAATTGTTGGAGAAATAGAATGACAAATGAATGTAGTTTGGTTAATTAGAGTTAGATCAGGATTCTAATTAACAAAATGAATGTGTATTTGCGTTCGTGGCAGTATGAATCAAGTAAAAATAAGTTGTGAAGAGAATACCTTTCAGTCTTCCTTCATCATGATCTGGTACAGCTTGCATTTGCTGCTTTCTAGAGTTGCTGATGCAGTGAATGACAATAGGTGATTTCTATCAGTATTGGTCTTGCCTCTTCCGTGCAGCTGCTGACCAAGTATATGGTGATTCTGAAGCTTATGATTTGATCAGGCGGATGTGCATCGACTACATGGTAATTTTTGTGCAGAACACACTGTATACATGCGATTTTATTTGTTGACTTCCTTTTCTTCTATGGTAGGTTAAGAGTTTTGTTCACTTAATTTTGGTTTCATTTAGAAATAGATGAAGCTATCCTCTTGGTTTTACATTAGAGGGTCACCGGTTTAATTGGGTCTCTGCTTGTTGATTTTTAATTGTAAAATGTGGGTGACAATGGCTTGGTACAATTGAGGATAGAAAGAGTGCACTGACAGAACAAAGCATCTACCATAATCAAATACACGTGTTAATTTGAGAGCCAGATTGGTTTCCTATATGTCTATATGTAGTAGGTTCTTGGCATGCTGAGATGTCCTATTTTGCATATCTTTTTTATCTGAACTGAAGTAACTTCCTAGTGGAATCCTATAAGGTCTTGATGCTGCTGAATATTTTATTCTTAACTTGACAAAAGATAGAAATTCCAAAATCATTGCGAAACAATTCATAAAGTTCTCAGCAGCCACAATTTCTTGAAAACTAAGGCAAGACAGCAGCAATAATCAATCAAACTATCATTGATGGACCCACTACTTCTAGAGCATTAGCAATATCAGATAACGAAAATCCCATTCCAACCAATCCAGCAACAACTTGGTCTGGGTCCATACTGTGATAATAGTTGTTTCAAGACGATGCAGCAAAGATCAAAGAGTGCACATACACACAAAAGTCAGAGTCTCCAGATTGACATACAATTAAACATATTTAGAACTTCAGAACATTAACTATTTTGGGGGACTTACAAACACAAAACTAATTTTTAAGGTTGGATAGTGTACCTCTAACTTCGATCACGAATTGAATAATAAGAACAATTCCATGGTCAGAAAGTGTTTCAGTTTTCCTGATCCAATGCAGCAATCACTTAAAAATAACAGTGATAATCAAGAATTGAATTTTCTTCTTCTTTTTTTTTTTAATCAAGAATTGAAACATAGAAGTTCTCCCAATATTTAGATAGTTACCCGAGAAGTTTACCTTTTCCGACAACATTTGTTCTGAATATCATCTATCTGATCATGTAAATACAATCAAACAAATTGAGAACTTCTGGACAAAGGAAAAGGATCCCGCTTCAACTACATTGACTGTTTTTGAGGTTGGAAAGTATTTCAGTTTTCTAGATTCAATGCTGCAACTTTGAAAATAACACTACAAAGCTAATAATTCACTATCTTCAATCAATAATCGAATTAACAAGAAAAAATTCAAGGTTGGAAAGTGAACTGCTAATCTTATAATTCTCCAACTTCAATCAAGAATTGAATTAACAATAAAATTTCAAGGTTGGAAAGTCTAGTGATAATCTAATAAGTATCTTATTTCAATCAAGAATTGAATTAACAAGAATTCACAAGAAGTATGTTTCTTTCCAATCTAAACCTCAAAAAAGACACCAAAAGAACAATCTTTGATGACTGTAGCTTAACTTTCCCCACCAACACACAACTAACAACGTTTCGATTCCCTCAAATCCATTAAAAGTATGTTTTTTTCAACCTGAACTTCAATACACACCAAAAGTACAATCTTTGATATACTGTTGCTTATTCCCTTCCTCATTAACAAACACCCAACCTTCAAGACCCACAAAAGTACTCTTTCATCATGAGATTTTTGCTTGGGCAATTCAAACTAGTGGTTTCTTAATGAGACTCCTAGCTTAAGCTTAATTTAGATTGAAAACAAAACCGAGTTCAATATTATATATTATAATAGTAATGGTTTCAAAGGTAGACAAATGATATCAAAAATAGATAGGTTTAAACTCCTCTTTCGACGAATAAAGAATGGATAGTGGTCCAATAAAATAAAAGCATCTACGTCAATTCATACCCATTAGACTTTCATTCAATTAACAATTTCAAAGTATCATAAAAGGTTCCATAACGCGATCTCTTTGCGAAAAAATCAGGAAGCATCCCCCGTTCTGCCATTCCCAAAAGCTGATATGAGTCACCACTCATCTCAGCTAAAAACATTCCCATATTTGACACAGCCGAAGCCCCTTGAACCCACAATCTTAACCATACTCCTCCAATGATCTTAGCAATATCCGAGAAATAACCATCACTCCAAAGATCACGATGCAACGGAACAGCTCCCGTGCCAAATAAAAGAGGGAAAAAGTAAACCAGAGACAACTAAAGGATTTTTTTTTCTTTTTAATTAGGTAAAATAAAACTGAAGGTAGTATTTACAGCTTCAGAGGGTCGACTACTAATAAGACACAAACAGAATTAATATTTTTGCTCCATGATTTTAACCTTCAGTCACTTCAATTAATCAAGTCATTCTCCAAAGGTAGATAAAGCTAATGCACGGTTCAATAGACATACCTGCAATTGAATTCTGAAAGGGAATATAGCTTCAAACACGAGAAGTTTCGATTTTGTATGATCCCCTACGCAAAAGCTACATCAACAACAAATTCAAATAATAATTTTCTAAAAAACTATAAAGACAGTGAGATCAAAGTTCATCAACTGAGAATAAAAAGCTAGCAACTTAATTTCAAATTTAGCCAAGAAAACAGAGATTCAGAGCAAAATAATAGCAAATATAATCCATGGCAATATGAGTAAGGGTTTCAACTAAAAGAAAGAATGAGAAGATAGTCCAAGCACATAATAACGATTACAACTACAAGAAGGAATAAACAACCATCAAAGTTTTGGGGAAATTCAAATATTAGAGGAAACAATTAGAAAGTAACCTTACCTGAGATCAAAGTAGAGAATGATGAAGTGAGAAAGTTGAAAGAACAAGTAAATGATGTGTCAATTGAAGATATCTCTTTGGAAGACACCAGCATTAAAAAGACTAAAATACCGTCAAATTTGAATTAAAAGACATCAAGCACACTAGCTTTTTCTATATAAGTAGTAAAGTAAAGTAAAATAGACAAAAATCATTTAAAAAAATATATAATGACTGTACAATATAGTTTTGCCAAAGTTACAGAAAACATACACTAACGATGTAATATAACTTGTGAAAAGTCGTAGAAAATATACACGGCCTATAAATAAAGCTTATATATACCTAAACTATACACTAACTATATATTATGATACACTTCAAAAAACGAAATACAACTTAATTATAAGTATAAACTGTACATAAATATACATAACTGTTCAATATCGATCAACTCAAAATTACCTTTATCAGTCAACTCAAAATTACTTTTAAAAGGTTACAAAAATTCAGATATAAAATTTTCTAAATATGTTAATTCTTTGAATATATAATTCACCATGTTTTTTGGTAAGTAGAGCCGTCAAAATGGTATTGACCCGCAAGGTCGATCCAACCCAACCCTTGAAATAAGTGGGGTTGGACTTAATATTTTTAACCCATTTACGACAAGACTTTTTAGCCCGCCTCATTTGGCCCATTGGCCTCGTAGGCCCAACCCGCAAGCCTCAGAGGCCAGCCAGAGGTAGTAATTTTTTAAAAAATATTTTTATATATATTTTTAATATTGTTTTATTTGTAAAGATTTTATGAATAAATATTTCGAAAAATAAAAAATCAAGTATTTTGCAATATCATCTTGTATGGTGAATTGTAGATGAAGATGAATTTCTTAAAGAAATAATATCACATATTGATTCAAATGTGATCGACAGTGAAAGTAGAAGTGGAGTTGTGAAACATTAATTAATGATTCATGAAATATTTAGAAATTCAGATTTGTTAAGTATTTAGGTTGTCTTGTGTTGCTGGATATCTTTTAAGCCAGCTAATTTTTTGTGAGAGAAATGATGGAATGATCAACATTTATCCGCTAAATCTTACGTTGGCTATTATATATTTTTGTAAATATTCACCAAAGTGTGTTATTCGTAAATGTATTTTTGTAAGTATCCACCAAAGTGTGATTTATAAATAAATTTTTGTACGAATTGATGTCGTATTCATAGACATCAACATTCTATATTCTTTCTAAGAGAACAATATATTGTTCATTTTTTGAATGAAGGGTCAACCCGTCCCAACTGGTGAACCGATAAGGACTGGATTGGACTGCTATTTTATTGACCCTTTAATTAAAAGGGCCAGATTGCCTCGCTTAGGACTGAATTGAACAGCTACTTTATTGACCCTTTAATTAAAAGGAACAGATTGCTCCAATCCATTTAACTCACTAGCTTGTTAGCATTGAATTAAATTAAACTGGATCAGCTTATTTTAACAGCTTATAAGTTAAATAACAGTAGCATAAAGATATTGGTCGTATATAAATAAATAACACAACAATAATAACAATAGCGTTATCTTCTTCAATAATATCTCAGCCCTTCGTTTTTCCCTCCATGAACAGCGCTTGCAATAACCCCCTTCTCTCTTCTTCCTTCCTTCACCAACCTCTCAAATCTTCAAGATTCCCAAATGTATCCATTTTCTTCCCCATTATTTCAAACCCCATTACCCCAAATCGCTGTATTCCCATAAAAACAACCATTAAGGGATCTATGGAGTCCAGGAATCCCACAAAGGGAAGAAGCACTAGTCCAAGAAAATTCAAACCCAGATATGGAACTTCAAGAAGATCAACTATCAAGAAAAGTCTTAGTCAAGAACAAGTTAATTTTACTAAACCCATCCCTGATGACCCTGTAGTTGGGATTATTGGTGGTGGAATGTCTGGCCTTACTTGTGCTCTTTATTTGGAGAAAAGAGGCATTCGTTCAACCGTTTTCGACACGGTTGGTTATTCTTTTCCCCCTTTTTTTGCGTTCTTGAATCTATTTCACATTGCATTGTTTTAGTCCGTTTGTGATAATGTTTACTTGAGTGTGTCTTTCAATACTTTTAGCAAGTTTTTCAATTACAACATCTTACCTTCAAGTTTAAGACCACAAGATTTAAATACACAAATCTGTTTTGACATGGCCATGAATGTAGTAGTCCAAGTATTTAATAGTGTTTAAATGATTTGAAACCAAAACTAGTATAAAGTTAGCTTCTCTAAAACAATTACTATCTATGCCATTTGTTTCTTCTTCTAAATATGTATGGCATAGTTTTACATTTTATGCTGTCTAAACATTCATTAAAACAATTATTATCTGTGCTGTCTGGTTTGTTATAATTGCTTGACAGTTATTGGTAGTTATATGATGATGCAAAGTAGAAGAATGCTATGGTGTATCTTCTTATCGTGTTTGATTGCTTTAGGGAATACATGGGTTGGGAGGAAGAATGGGAACAAGAATGATTGATCATCAGCCTTTGATATTTGACCATGCAGCTCAGTTCTTCACAGTGACAAACCCCAAGTTTGCTGAGCTAGTTGATGACTGGTTGAAGAGAGGTCTGGTTCGTGAATGGAAGGGTACAATTGGTGAGCTTGAAGTTGGTGGGAATTTTGTCCCATTTCCTTCTTCACCTCCTAAATATATAGGGGTCAACGGTATGCGCCCACTTGCGGATTCATTACTATCTCAGGTGCATAACCTTTTGTGTAATACTTAACACTATTCTCCTCATGATGCCTCTATTCAACTTAACAACTCCCTTCAAATTTGTTTGTTGAGAATGTATGCTTAGTAGAATTTTTATTATTGGTGTTTGTAAGTTTATGAAATTTCACTTTTTCACTGTCCTTTATGTTTTGGTCGCATCATTTTTTTTGTTTGCTTTTCCCCCTCAATTTTATAAAAGTTTGATATGTTGGACAGACTTCTTTGGTCAATGTGGTACGACCTTGTTGGGTAAGCGCACTTGAACCATTTAATGGGACGTGGCACTTGAGTGAGAAGGGGAAGCCTTGTGGGCAGTTTGATGCAATTGTCATTGCACATAATGGTAACTATTTTCAATTCATATTGTAGTTTTGTCTTCAGATAGTCTTTTCCTTCGCAAAAATTAGCAAAATTTTAATGTGCTAAAGCAAACCTTGATTGAGTTTATCTCTTCAATCTGTCAAAGAGGACAAAAGTTAGTGGTGGTCAAAGAGAAGATGCTCATAATTTTTTTGGCCTATATTTCACTTTAAAGAGCCTTTTCTCCTCATAGCTATAGGTGGGAGTTATTGAAGTAAACTAATAATTGTTATCTTCTATTTTGTCATATTTTTCTTATAGCTATGTTTATTTTTGGCTATTCAACTTATATGCAGTAGAATAACCTCTATTTTCCATAGTTTATCTCCGTCTGCCTTCTTTTCTTCTTTTGATCAAGTAATTTTATCTCCATGTTTCAATGAAGAATAAATCATTTGAGTTTTTCAGCCCCCAAGGTTTTGGTCTAGTGATAAGAGTGACCGTAATGTGTAGATTAGGTGCACATCGTGGGTTTTTGGACCCTGCTGCAGACAAAAACGAATTGTGGTGGACAAGTGCATGTCCACCGAGTTTCAAATCATGCTCCTCTAACCTCGGAACTTTCTCGGTTTTCAATTTTTTTTTAAGGTTTGAATCGTCCTCTGATCTATGGGAACTAAAAGCATTCTTAGATCGTTCCCATTCTCACCAACAAACAGTAGGGTTATGGATAAATAAAAAGTCTGTAATGAGATATATGGTGATTAATGGAACCACCTTACCTTGTTAAAAAAAACGTAGATTCAACTGGTAATGTCAAGATCTTGCAACATTTTGGCCATGCAATTTCAGGAGTAAATGCAACTGGTAATGTTGATCTTCACATAGACAAAATGCCCAAAAAATCATTTTGTTTGGGTGTGGTCTCGAGGAGATTTTAGTTAAGAAAAAGAGGAGAACTTTTTCAAGTTAGAGAATAAGTGCACTGATAAAGAAAACATACGCGAAAAACGTTTTATGCTTGTTTGAAGAAGAGAAGTTGGTCTTCATAGAAATCTTGAAAATGCGTATTATTATGAAATAATTATTAGGCTTTTGAAGACGAAGGTTTTAAATGTTAAATAGTTGCACTGACCCAATTAGTATTTAATTAGAATAGAAGAAGCAAAAGCCTAAGAAAGAACAAAGCTTTATGAAACTCCTAGAATTGACTTGAGATAAGAAAAATATTGACGTGGAAAAGACGATGATCATGGACCATTAAGAAGTTACTAGACAGACCAAAATGATTAATCAATTAAATAATGATCAATCTAGCACTCAAAAGTAGACCCGAAGGCAAAACTGAAAAACCTCCTATCCACTTCTGTTTTTTTTTATTTTTAACAATTCTATGGTATATGAACAAATATATGATGAGTTTTGATGTTTGATTCTGCCTTGGTGGCAGGCCAATTCTCAGTCCGATGGAAGAAAAGTCATGGAGACACGTATCTAGTCTAGTATTTATGAAACTGTAGGCCGCATGACCTCTGCCAACAGCCAATCCATCCTGCTATTGGTCTAGTCCTGCATCTTTTTTTATATTTTTTGATAACGGAAAAAATGTAAAAAAAGATGCAGGACTAGACCAATAGCAGTTTTGGACAGGAACTTTATTCTTGCATCTTTTGATGATTTCATAGTGTTTATGTGTAAGTTTATTGTTGCTTGCTTATGTTGACAGGACTTTATGCATTCAGTGTACTAAAGAAAGCACAGATACTTACACCTTCTGCATAATTGTGATTTCTCCTTTGGTACGCTCATATTTTGTTTTACATGTCGCCAGGTAAATGTGCCAATAGATTGCTTGCAGCATCAGGCTTACCCCTCATTGCAAAACAAATGAAGGTATTGGCAAATATTAGCTGGTCTTCTCTCATCGATGCATATGTATCTTGATTCTTTTTTTCTTTCCTATTTATTGTTTCAATTCATGATTTTGTTTTTCATAATCTTTCACAGAGACTTGAACTTAGTTCTATATGGGCTCTTCTTGCTGCATTTGAGGATCCTCTGCCAACTGCACTAAATGCAGCGTCCCTTCCCTTTGAAGGGGCTTTTGTAAAAGGGGTTGAATCTGTCTCATGGATGGCAAACAACACTAAGAAACTCTTAGCTTCAGATAGTGGTCCACAATGTTGGACATTTTTCAGCACTGCAACCTTTGGAAAGCAGAACAAAGTCCCCCAGGTCTCTTTCTGTGACAATGCTTTGAGCTCAACTATTTATTTTTTGACTAAGTAAATGTATTCCTTCATAAACATGGCCGAACTGTCCAATACAAGGGGTATACCAAAATATGATTCTCTACAAACTCCGCCCAAGCATCTATACAACAAGGAACTTTCTGCTTACACCAAAACAAAATGAGGGAAAGGAGACTACTCCGCAACTGGGAGAAACTCTACTCTACTTTTTTTTTGTTGATAAAGTTAAACATTTTATAGACAAAAATACTCCATTGTTGAATTTTATTTAGTAATTACATCAGGAGTATACAGTAAGCAAAACAAAGAGATCTATCACTTATGCTCCTCCTAAACTATCTAAAAAGTGAGTGATAGGCAGGCCAATCATTCATGTTTAATTTATTTGGCCCTTGGCAGCTGTATTAGCTTAATATTATATTTGAACTGTTTCCAATCTTTAAATTTGTTAAATAGGAGGTTCTGAGCCAAGTTTTAAGGGATGGTTGAATTTTTGTGATTTGTCGTAAGTTGCTTTATCAGCAGCCACATAGAACATATATGGACAGTATGATTGCTGTGAGAACTTTTCAGGTGAAGAATGTATGTATATTATTTGTGGGATGTGTGTGTTTGTGCACGTATACATATACTGACGGCATTGGACATACTCATGAATGATCAATTTTTCTTTAACAGGAAAGTATTCCAAATGCTACAGGAGAGAAAGTGAAGGAAGCTATGCTTGAGGGTGTTGAGAAGGCTCTAGGACTATCAAAAAGCTCACTCCAAAAGCCATTTTATACAAAATTACAACTATGGTATGAAGTTATGTTGAACAATCTAGTCAATATATGCTAATTGTCGCACACACTTGATACATAATGAGAAACTGAACGGAGAACTATCACACAGAGTATTTGTTACTAAGGCATAGAGATGCTGCACCACTACCTAACAAATTTCTTCTATCTGGATCAACTGAAATGAATTTTCTGCATGACATGGACCGACACTTCAATTATATTACCTTCTCTGAGATGGCAAAAGACTACCTCTTCTCCTACATGTTTTGTGTATAATTTTGGGTGACGGAGACTTCTCTTCATTGTTACTGATCATAGATTTTCTAATATAATTTAAAAGGCTATCGATCCGTCAAGCTCACATCTTTCTAATTTCAATTGAAGGCAGTAAACAGTTGAACAATTTTGTTAGTTGGGAGTGGAGTGCTTTTTATAGGATCTTCTCTTCTGAAGCTGCTAATTTTATAGCAATGGTCGTGTTTCTTGTTACTGAACTGTAGTTCCTTCAGCATGTCAAATATCTTGGAGTTGAAGCTGTACTCACAAAGGGAAACTGGTTCTGGGTAACACTGAGGGTGTTTTATCAAGTAGATGCTCCTAAGTTAGGGTGGATTTGAACAGTTGAATTTGGAGTCTCGGTTACAGTTATTGTCCAAGAACATGACTTGGTGCTATGCTGAGAAAGCTATGTATTCTAAGAAATACGTGTTGCTTTTTTTGGTGGTGGGTGGATGGAGGTGGGGGCTAACTAACAATTTATTGATCACCAAAGGATAAGCAGGGCAAAACCATAGCAAAACTATCACAGTTTGCTATCTACTTGAGATTCAGTTACAAGCAGCAAAATAAAACTAAAGCAAATGAAAACTGGAGCTGTTGAATCTTGGCCCTGATACCTATAGGAGCGCTAATATTACATGTATAAGCAACTTCTTTAGCTACTGCCTACTCTTGCCTTCAAATGTCCTCGTGTTTCTTCCCCATGTACTGCATGGTTCTGCAGTATGGTGTGTTGCTTTGTTGTAAAAATTGAATGAGCCGGTCCTATTAATGCCACTTTCCCGTTTTCCTTTTTAGGAGTTTTCTGCTTATCTTTTTACTAAATTTATTGAAGAAGAAATTGTTCCCTGCTATCTATTTGTAATCATATGGTTTATTTTACTACATTGCAGGGGTGCAGCTCTTCCAACCAACACTCCTGGAATTCCATGCATCTTTGATCCTCGTGGAAGGGCTGGTATATGTGGTGATTGGCTACTTGGATCAAGTTTAGAAGCTGCAGCTTTAAGTGGCATAGCTCTTGCTGATCAAGTAATCCTCCTGAATTTCATTTTTCTGTCTCCTTATTATTGGCTCACTGCTAATTATGATAAAATTTATAAACTTAAGCCAGAGTAATATTTGTTCATGTTTGTGTCCATAAAGAAATGGATCTTGGCCCTAATTCAACCTCTGAAGCTAAGCAAGCTCAAGAGGTGAGGATTGTCCAAGCCATATTAATGAGACCACCCAACCCTTAAAGGGCCAATTTGGGACTCCTCACAGTGTCTTTAATGGAGTACTCATTTTATTGAATTTACTCTGACGTTTAAACTGAATGTTATTCCCAAGCTTATAATAGGAAATTCCCTACAGATTGCAGATTACTTCGAACAAGGTGGTCCTTGCTCAGATGAGTTTGCTGTTGGTTTGCACGATGAATATAAGCCACTTGAAGGACATGATATAGGGCAGTTTCCAGGACTGGATACTGTTGATCAAATTACAAATGTCCCAGCTTTGACACTCGCTACATGAACTGATCCTGTGACGAAGTCTTCTGTAAGTTCTTAAGCATTTATAATCTGTAATGTAATTCATGTTAGTTCCTTGTCTTAATGAAGATGCATTCTTCTTTTCTTCCCACATTTGATGCTCTTGCGTGTTTTCTGCGAAGGATGATTTGTTGGTTAAAGCAAGCGAAAACAAATTAAGACACACTATCGGAACAAGCAGTTTGCAATACTGGTTATAGACATATACTTGAGCTTGAATCATTTTGCTAGCAGCTCATGCGAAGGTATAAGATCTTCTGCATACTGGCATCCTTTAGAATGATAACTTAGGAATTTTTCAAGTTGATAATCTTTTTCTGCTTTCAGGTTCAGCTAAATATCTGATAATCGAAACTCAAGTTGGATTTCTCGAACCTTCAACTTTGGGTTGGAGAGAAAAGTACTCAAAAGTCAGAAATCGAGCCTCGATTTCATTAGAATCTCAGATGGTGAGCAAGTCTTATAAAACCTTGAGTGACGAATTCTACAATTTCAGAAAGAAAAACTTTGTAGTTTGAATATGCAACTGTAGATGTATAAGAACTATTAGTACATATAGGGGTGGCAATTTCGGCTTATATAAGTGAAACGAAACCATTTTGCCCATGTTAAACTAAATGGAACACTCGTATTTTATTTCATCTTATTAAATGGGTTAATATGGTCTTTAACCTATTCAGCCCATACAAGTGAGAAATGAAACAGATTTTTTTATTTGAAAAAAAATATTTAGGAATAGGTTGGTGGAAGGTCGGAGAGTGTGGGTGGGTGCCTGTAGGGAGGGGTAAATTTTATTTTTGAAAAATTAATTTATTTAAATGGGTTGGATTATGATGGATAAGTTATAATAGGATTAGTTATGTTGAAATTTTTTTTATTGGTTGTTTGGTTTTCAAATATGCAAGACATATTTCTGAGAATGGGTTGGTTGTTTAGAAAAATACTCATTAAAAATACATGTAAAAATAAGAGTCTGTTTGGATTGACTTAAAAATAATAGCTTTTAAGTCAGAAATAAAAAGTCAAACTGAAATGACTTTTAAATCAAAAAATAAAAAGTAGGATCGAGACCTACTTTTGGTTTCTGACTTATTCTAAATCATTTTTCACCTTGTCAAACACTTCTTCGTTTATTTTAAGTCATTTTTGACTTATTTCAAGTTTTTTTTTTATATTTGTCAAACACTTTCAGATTTCAAAAGCTAACTTAAAAGTAGGTTTGATCGACTTTTAAGCCAATTCAAAAGAGCTCTAATTTGTTTGCTAATAAAAAAGGTAATGGGTACTTTTGATATTTTGTATTTTTATCTCCGGATAAGTTATTTCGGGATGAGTATTTCCCGCACAAGTAGGAATAACTTATGTCAGTCATAACTATATAAATTATGAGGTAAATTATTTCATACTTTATAACCAAACAAAGAATTGAGAAATATTAAAAATTTATTCTGAGATTAGTTTTCTTTATCCATCGCAGCACATAACCTATAAGTATTACAATCAAGTACTTATACGAACCATTTCTTCTTTATTTTTTCATAATGATGATTTTATCAAATTTGTATTTTTTGGTATGAAGTATATTTTCTTTCCCTGCGATTTCGATAAGTATCAATGTTAATAAATATCTATTTTTTATTTATTAATTTGAGTGATATTTATCATTTGCCCTCGATATTTAATAAAGTAGAGGATAAAACTATGAACAAAGAAGAAATTGTATTGTATTAATGCTTGATTCCATGAAATTAGTGTTCTTCAAATCATTTAACTTTCATAAAAGAAAAAATCTCATCAATTTTAGTCATAGATCATAGCACATAATCAGTTATAAACGCAATTGAAATTAGTTGGATTTGTTCAATAGAATATTGATTGATCTCGCAACAACAATAAGAGATCTTTTCTCACTCGATAATTGAACATCATAAGTCAAAAAAAATAAGAAAAAATTTCTTATTAAGTGGTAAATGAAATTAGTGGTCCCCTTTTTAATTTCTTTAAAAAAAATCACTTTGTTGTCTTTCTCAATATACATCTTTTTTCATTGAAACATATCATCCTCCATCTTCATCTTCACCACTATAAACTATTTTGATTTTATTTGTCTTTTACTAATCCATAAAATTTAATATCAATGTCATTCTATTGACGTCGATTTCACTCTATTATTGGTGTCGATTTCGCAAATGTCAACTTTCTTAATTTCTGGGTGACCTATTTTTGATTTCTAGATCATTCAAACATTTCTCATAAAATTTTTATTTTTTGAATTAACTTTCTTATGCAATTTGCATTTCTTATTTGAATTGTCAAGAAAAAATTGACTTTCAAAAAATTTCATTTTTCAAGAGGGTAAATACTTTTGGAGGGTTCGAAGAGGATAATGTAAATATTCTTCTTTAAAGTGACTTAAAATATTGTTGAATAGTGATGAAGAAGAAAAAATAAAAAAATTGAAGATTGAAATAATGGTTAACAATAAGGAAGAAGAAAAAGACGGTATAGGTATGCATTTATAAATTAATCAATTGACATTTAAGAAAAAATAATGATGAATTAGTAAAAATGAAATAAACAGTTAATGACATGGTGCCTGCATGGTTATGATGTGGCACTTACGTGGCTGTGATGTGGCAAGTGAGACTGGTGTTATAGTCTCGTGGTAGGAAACAAATTACTTCGAAGATATTAAAAAGATATTTATACGCCCGTATAATTTAAATACTTAAATTGTCCAACCAAACTTAGGGAGTTTTCATGCATTTTCTTTTAATATTAACTTGTGTCACCAATTGATCTCAAAAACAAATTTTGTAATCAATTAAATATGGCTAATTAATATAAATTCATATATTGCTTAAAGATGATAAATGATAATTGATGTTATTCAAGTAAATTCATATGATTCGGAGAAAATAAAATATGTAGCGTTATTGAGCTAAGTATTATAATTTTTACCCTATTAAAAATTTGTCTAATGCACTTAGAACACTTGTATTAAGGGTTTGTTTGGTTATGTGATACAGTATCATGATATGGAATCATAGTACAATATTATAAAATGAAATTGAAGTTTTGTTTGGATATGCGATATAAAATTTTTGTGTTTGTATATTTTTTCATAAACATGAGAATCTCATAAATTATAAAATTATAAAATTTGTCTTAATTTTTTACTCAATCTTACCAAATACACAAAAATTTATAAAATCACATAATAAATTATTACAAAGTTATTTGTTCTCCACTTAACTAATTGCTTCATCTAACTTTAATTCAATAAAAAAACTTTGAACATGAATTGTAGTGTACTAGTTTTTAATATAATTCTCCCACATAGTATGAACAACTTCCTCACGTTAAACTTGCATTTCTAGATCATGTGACCGAGAAGACGAACCAACATTGTTGCTTTGAGTCATTTATTGGTTAATATCATCTGCAACTATATTTTCATGCTCATAGACTATAAATATTTCATCAGTCCGTTAGTATTCTCGCAAATAATTATGTAACACTGCATAATCTATGACAATTTTCATACCATACCATACCAGGCCTAGATGTATGTTGTTATGTTAGACATAACAACCTATGTTATTGTATGACTTGTTCGATATATTCAACTGCTACAACATAGAAATTAACATCCTTAATGTCGATATCAGACTCACTACCACTACTTGATATGCTCATATCAATATGATTTGATATGTTGTTCAAGTAGAAATAAATATAAGTTGTAATAAATACAAAATGACAGAAGTAATAAATTAGGTGTTGGCGTAATGAAGAGAATAAATTTATTACTCAATAGTCGGTTAGCTTGAGTTAAAGTGATTATATGTTGGTGAGCATAATAAATTTTATGTCTGTGAGAATAATAAATTTTACAAAGTAATTACGTGAATATAAATTTTATTTACGTATGAAATAAATTGTTGGTAAATATAAATGTGGATTATTTTAACAAAATATAAACTTGTGAATCAATTTTTGTAGTAAAACATCTCAAATCATGATATTGAATTCTCATGTCATGGTTTTTGGAAAATATGAAATCACATCTTATGATATGAAATTATGAGATGGAATCAACTTAAAATCGCATGTCCAAATGCTGATTTTATCTCACAATTTCATATCATGATATAATATTACATGACCAAATACTTACTAAGTAAAACTTTTTGTATTTAATAACCTGTTTGACATTATTGTTGGAAGGTAAAAACATTTTTTTTAAAATTAAGGTGTTTGACAAGTCAAAAAAGCTCTATATCATTAGGAAGACGTAAAAACTTTTAGAAGCAGAAATAGAAAATTATTTTTTCAAGACCAAATATTTAATCGAATTGTATAAAACGAGAAAGAGAGAACGCAATAGAGACTTGAGCAGAGAAATATTTGTATTGCACAATAATAAGTGTATAAAACGGAGATATATGTATTTGCATGTGTATATACAATTTTTCTCTCGCCTTATAAACATAAATACATTGACAAACAGTTTGCTAAGGAACACAAATAAATCAAACGATAGCTATTGTATTTATTTTACATTATTAATTTGATATTCTATACAATTATCCCCTTTTTAAAATACATTTTTCAAAATATTTATTTTAAGAAATACTTTTAAAAAGTAAATAATTTTTAGCAATAATATTTAACCATTTCAATTTTTCAAATAGACTTTAAAAAAGTACCAAATCAGGCTGTAATTATTTTTTTTTAATAAACTCAAATCCTAATATAAACCCCCCCTCCTTCTTAGGACATTATTCACACCCCCCATTTCCCTTCACCTTCTTCTTCTTCTTCTTCCAAAAGAGAAAAAAAAAATCTCAAATTTCTCCATTTTCACTTGTTGATCCAAAAATTCAAGAAAAATGAGGATTCGAAAACCCATACCCAATTCACCATCTTCATCTTCATCATCGTCGTCATCTTCATCTTCTTCATCTTCCTTGTACACGTTCTCTTCCCTAACAGATAACTCCTTTGCTTCATCCATAGATTCATCTTCCTCAACTTCAACTTCTTCCTCTATCACCACTGCTAGATGTCAAGGCCTTGATCTGCTAGTCAAGGCCATTCATCAGGTTACTGATGGTTCTGTTGTGGGTGTTCCTTACATTCAGAAAAGGGTCATCACGAGGAGGAGGAGAAGAGTTTTGAGCTTTGAAAGGTTTTTTATAGCAGAGTGTTTTGAGAAACAGCATGATGGGGTGAAGTGCAAAGATGGGTCGTTGCCTAAAAGACAGCAAAGGAAGCGATTGAAGACTGTTCCGACTAAGTATCAAGATTCAGCGATGATTCAGTCATCGAAGCCCAAACCCAAAAGCCGGAGACTTCAGAGATCTGCTAAGATTTGTGAGGAATTGGGGTCGTGAAACTGTTTTCTCTATTTTGATTCTTCTCTTTTTCCGAGATCTTAGATGATCTTGTTCTCTTAGAGGTATCAATTTGATATATAGTATTTTTGCTTCTTTCTTCTTTTTTTTTTGGGTGGATGGGTAATTTTTCTGTTTTCAATTTGTAATGGAGTATGTTATAGTGATGAATTTTCGATCAATGAAGATATGGTGAAAATTGAAAATTTTGGGGGTATCAGATTCTGATCTGACTTGTGAATCTTTTGGATT